ATAAATTATCATAAAATTTGTTTTTGCTTAAAAAATTTCTTTGCTGTAATGTATACTTAAATTTTATGCAAAAAGTGTTGGATACACTTAAATAGTTCCAGAGGTTTGGCGAAAAAAGTGAAATTATCATTAACCTTTTCCTACAGAATTTTTTAAAGCACATTTTTCATATTTTTTTTATTTTGTATTCATTTAGGTCAAAATAAGTGAAAAATTTCATATTTAGCATTTTAATAATTTATGGTAATGAAAAGCAGCATGAAATGTCGATTATAAATTTGGACATTTCCAGATTTTATAGCAAAGGAAATGTTGAGATGTTGTGAATTCCTTTAAGTATAGATTCACCTTGAAGTGCGATGTTAGTATTTCCAGGAAAACTCATACAAGTTCTATCGAAAGATTGAAATTTGCTTCACCTTGTAGCCTGAAATCCATACGCAGAGATATTCCCATCTCTGCCTTGCAAAATAACTTTTAAAACATTTTCCTGAACCAAAATTAGTCTGATGTTTTAATGTGTTGCGAAAATGATGAATTTCCTTCTCTTGGGTTTGTTTTGAAAGTTCAATCAGCAGTGTTTGCCGCCATATTTGATCAAGACATGCTGGAAAACAAAACTGGTATATGGCTGACATGGGCGGCGTTTCGTGAATTTTTGTATAGGGATGAAGTGGATAAATTGGATTACGATATTGCCAAGAATCTAATATTAACTGCCGATAAATACCAAGTGCCGTCGCTTGTGGATAAGTGTGCTTCATTTTTGATACCCATTATATCAATTAAAAATGTGTGTGAAATTTGTAATGGCTGATATTATTGATTGAATCGCTGATATGATTGATGACTAGTTAAATATAGCTATGAAAGTTCGGTTGCTTGGAAGAATTCTGAAAACACAACTACTCAGAAATAATAACTTGGAAGTATGAGAACTAAACTTTGCGAGGATAAGAGGCCCAAATTACTACTCATAAATGTTTATGCGAAATGTTTCAAAAGTCATTCTTTTGAAGTTTTGTTTTGAATGCGAGTTAAGTTGATTCAAATTTGAGGTTTTTGAAGTACTTTAATACTCTTTTCAGTAACTGTTATTTTTTAAATTCAATTGTTGATTTCTAACTTTTAATAAAAATTAATTTCTGTTTTATATAATTATTTGTGTTTCATATTATGTAGTTGCAGTGCATAGGTTTTTGTATGCAGGAGTGTTTTACTATTAAATTTATTGAAAGTTGAGTCTTGCTTTTTATATTAAAGATTTGTTGTTTGTCAAGACGTATTGCAATAATCTTTTTATTTTTAAATATTATCTTAAACTGTAATATAACATTCTAACAATAAATATACCATAACCGGTCAAAAGACCATTTATTGTATGTTGCATTGTAAAGTGGTGGTATGTTTAGTGTTAAGAAAGGTTACTATATTTTCTTTATTTTTTACAAAAGGAATGCTTTTTGCTGGAGTATTTTTTTCTTTTAAAATCGGTCAGAAAATTAAGGACCCTTAGTAAAGATTTTTATTTCCTGAAGTAAAACTATAAAATTTTAATTATTATTTACAAGCACATAAACTGTAGTATTTATATTTATGTTTCATACGGCAGAAATAGTGGTAATAATGTTTTATTACGAATTTTCTTATTTATGTTGGGTTATTTTATTAATAAATAAAATGAAAATTAAGGCGCTTTTCACATCATTGAGAATTGCCTTTTTTTGATCTGTTGCAAGAATTTTTTTTTAAAATTAAAAGTAAAAATAATGGTTATTGTATTTTCGTTAAATAAATAAAGGGATATTTTGTAATTTTAAATGTATAGCGCGAAGGATATTATTTTAGGAATGTTTTAGGACTATAAAATTCTGCATATTTTAAAAAAACTCAATGTTTATTCGTTTTATTGTTGTTGATTTCATTATAAATTAGTGACTTTTTTGATTCTAATTCCGCATAGTTCCATCAAAAAATCCTCCAAGAAAGCAAATTTCGCCAAATACTTTATCCAGGAGTTACCTTGTCTTCCGGATTGGGTTCAAAATTACAAGATTGTGGAATTGAACATTAGTAGGCGTAAACTTGAAAATGGTTCAGCTGTTCAACGACGGTTATAAAATAAAATAAAATGGCCTTAAGATTGCCGGAATAAACTGTTTGGTAGGATGTTAGATTCATGTTCGTGTGACTGAGATTAGGTCGAAAAATCCCCGCGTATTAAATGGTAATGGTATAGGTTAAATGGTACAGGTTACAAAGTCTTCCAAGTTCCTCAACAAATTAATACCTTTTGGAGTTGATGATCCTGAAGTTCGCTCGTCTTCTCAATTGANTATACAGCAAGCAAATGTCAGTAATTTTTATATTTTTTGTATTGATATGGATTTTTTATTTAATAAAATGAGTTTTCGGATTATCCGTGTTTTTCGATTGTCCGTGCGACCTGTCCCGATGATTAACTCGGATAATCGGGAGTGCACTGTATAATGAAAATTAAGGTGCTTTTCACGTCATTGAGAATTGCCTTTTTTTGATCTGTTGCAAGAATTTTTTTTTAAAAATTAAAAGTAAAAATAATAGTTATTGTATTTTCGTTAAATAAATAAAGGGATATTTTGTAATTTTAAATGTATAGCGCAAAGGATATTATTTTAGGAATGTTTTTTTATTGCATTTATAAAGAATCTCAAAGTTTATTTTATCTCAAAAAATATTTTGTGAAAAAAAAATATCTTCCTATTATCTCTATTTCTTTAAACTATATTTTAACTTTTTTTTAAAGCTCAATTTATTAATTGTAAATTAAAGTAATTACATTTTCAGGATGTTAATTGTTAGTATATGTTTTGTAATTTGTAATCCCTTATGCTGGTATATTTTGTTATTGATTTTAATAAGAGTTAAAGTCTCTTTTATATAATAAAGTTTGGTATTTCATGCAATGTTGTGACCTAATTTTTTAATTATTACTATACAATTGCAATACATATTTATAAAAATATAAATTCTGCATACATTTTATAATTTGCAATGTATAGGATTCGTATATTTTAGGGTAGGATATTGTATATTTTAATTTATTTTTGTTCTAATATTATGAGAACTTTATCTATAAATAATATAAGTAAACAACCATTAGCAGCTTTGTTTTTAAGAAACTGATTTATTTATTTTATTAATTGCTCAGAAGTTTCCTCATAAATATATTTTTTGATGAACATTCACATTATATTATTAGTCAATATATTTTCAAGTATTGACAAATATTATAACTATCTAAAAAATGTCAACAATTCACTAAATGTCTCCAATATGTTTATGTCAAGGTTTACAAATTTTTGAGATATGTTTTTCCCTTACTTTATATGGAATAAAATAGATAAATCAAAATGCCAACAAATATCAACAACCAAATTTATATATGGGTATTTATATTATTTTTTATAATAATAGCATATTTCAATACTATTTAGAATTAAATATTAAATGCTACTTTTGTTATAGATTTTAACATTTGTTCAAAAAAATATTTTTGCTCTTACCCATAAATACACCATTAAGAATTTCTTTAACTATTATGCACTGCTGGAAAGCTCTATAATTGTAAAACTGCTTATAAAAAATATTCTATTGGTAGGAAAAGAACAATAAACATTCTGATAATAATATATAGCACTTTTCCCTACTTTATTATTATTTGAAATAAATATAGGTTTTTTTTTACCAATTCTTTCTTTAGATAATTTTGTCTATAAGTTTCTGCGATGCTGTAGGGCAAATTATAAGAATATAGCAAAATATTTACATATTTTAATATCATAAACTTTTTGTTATACTTTACTTAATTTGATTTCGTTGTTTATTTTCAAAAATAGCTTGGGAACATGAAACCTCTCAAATAAATAAAATAAAAGAAAATAGTATTATAAAATGTATTTCTTTCTACAAAATCTATAATATATTTTTTAATTATTTGTCAATCATGTAATACCATTTGAAGTATATATTTATATCAAAATCAAATGTTTTAAATAAACTTTTTACACCAAGTTCCCGCACATTTTGATTTCGTGGCTATCAGGCTGGCTATTTTGATTATAAAACCTCAATTTTGGTTTATTACTTTGTTTTTGGATATTATAAATAATATGCAAAATGCTGATCAATTAATATTTACCTAAAAATTTTGAAGTAAGTACATTACACTACAATTTCAGCAGTGAAGTTTTTATACAGGAAGTTTTGAAATGATCATCCTTATTATTAATTTTTAGATTCTTTGAAGGAAAAGTAAAAGATGTATGCATATTATTTTTCTCAAAATAATGTTTACATGAAAGAGAATAATATTTTCAAACTTCGATAAATTCTAAATAAGATCAATTAGAAAAGATGCCAGATTCTGTCTCACTGGTCAAATCGGTTTTTGATGATTTTAAGCCCTGCTTTACTTTTATTGACCTGAATAAGAATAAATGAGAAATCAAAATAGGGGTGTACAATCTGAGCAAGAGCCTGTGAAAGAATTTTATAATTTAAACAAGACTAAAAATATATCGAAAAATTTGACTTTCCACTATATAAAAATATATCAAAAATATATCGAAAAATTTCCACTTTCTGATGCCACATAATTTGCATAGATTCTATCGTAAATCGGCGTAGTCTTTCCATCGTTTTTTCAAAGTTTAGGACTATAAAATTCTGCATATTTTAAAAAAACTCAATGTTTATTCGTTTTATTGTTGTTGATTTCATTATAAATTCAAGTGACTTTTTTGATTCTAATTCCGCATAGTTCCATCAAAAAATCCTCCAAGAAAGCAAATTTCGCCAAATACTTTATCCAGGAGTTACCTTGTCTTCCGGATTGGGTTCAAAATTACAAGATTGTGGAATTGAACATTAGTAGGCGTAAACTTGAAAATGGTTCAGCTGTTCAACGACGGTTATAAAATAAAATAAAATGGCCTTAAGATTGCCGGAATANGTGGCTGTGTGGAATGGTATATCGAAATGCCTTCTCTATTTGAGTATTCTGAAAGCCTAACTTTTCCAATCTCAGATTCAAATAGTGTTGAATTAACTTTGAATTCTACAGAAGAAAAGATGAAAATTTTGATTCACTTTAAAGATGATGAGTCTGAATCATCTCAACAATTAACATGCACGTTATCTCTCTTCGATAAAATAGGATGCAATCTGGGTTCAAAGCGTACTGGGAATGTGTGTAAAAGGGGAGAAACTTGGACTTTTCCAGATTTAATAACAAAGGAAATGTTAAGATGTTGTGAAACGAATTCCTCTCGGTATGAGTTCATGTTGAAGTGCGATGTTTGTATTTCCAGGAAAACTCATACAAATTCTATCGAAAGATTGAAATTCGTGTCACCTTGTAGCCTGAAATCCATACGCAGAGATATTCCAATCCCTGCCATGCAAAGTAACTTTCGAAGCATTTTCCTGAACCAAAATGACTCTGATGTTACAACTCGTTGCAAAAATGATGAATTTCCTGCTCATAGGCTTGTTTTGAAAGTTCGATCCCCAGTGTTTGCCGCCATGTTTGATCAAGACATGCTGGAAAACAAAACCGGTGTAGTGGATATCGCTGACATGGACGGAAAGACTTTGAAAGCGTTTCTTGAATTTTTGTACACGGATAAAGTGGATAAATTGGATTACGATATTGCCAAGAATCTAATATTAACTGCCGATAAATACCAAGTGCCGTCGCTTGTGGATATGTGTGCTTCATTTTTGATATCCATTATATCAATTGAAAATGTGTGTGAAATTATTGCAATCGCTGATATGATAAATTGCAAGAATTTAAAATCTTTTGCGCTGAATTTCATTAAGGTTAATGCTGCTAAAGTATTGCCTACTGCAGCGTGAACAGAATGGATTCAAGATAATATTAAGCTAGCTACATATATTCTATCGGAATTATCTACTGCTATTGGCACCAATTACAAATTAATTTAACCTTTTATTTTTATAACTTAAAAACTTTTTATGAAGATTTTCGTAAAATATATATATTTTTTTAATTGAATTATTTTTCTTTCTAATTCAAATATTGATTTGTAATATTTTTATAAGAATTAAATCTCTGTCTAATCTTACGTTTGTGTTTTATGCTATATTAAAGTAATTTAAAGTTAATTCGTTCGATATATTCTATAAATTCATTAGATATTTACTTTAAATTTATATAGTTTTTAATAACAGAAAATCACTCTAAACGAGAATAATTCTAATTTCGTTAAACTAACATGTAATCGAAACAATACTTTATTCATACTTCAACTAAACAGCTGTTGTAAGCTGTAATTAATAACCAGTTTCCATCTTTTTAACTTAAGTAATTCTTAGAAATGCTTTTTTATTAAACTAATATTAATTTTGATAAATTTGATATTCATAAATATTTGTTTTATTTTAACGTTTCAAATTGCCTGCAACTCATACCACTAAATAACTGGTTTCAATTTGCAGTATATTGACTTTCATTAATTATATTTAGTGTATTTTTGTAATTTCCTTAGTAGAGGAATAATTTTTATTACTTTAAATCTGTGCTATATTAAGTTGAATGTGTAAAATAGTGAGTAAATATATAATTACACCAATATGCTAAATGAATATTCACTTAGCACATTGAATTAAATGCTAATTGTTGAATTATTAACTTGTAATAAGATAAAATTAAAATTTAAGAAGAGCAAATATAGTTTACTCTTCATAACATTTTAAATAAGCAGTGAATTCTTTACTGATTGATTGTGATTCATTAGAAAAACTTATTCAAAATTTAAATTTATTTCAGAATGTAATTAATTTAAATTTGACTATCTAAATATTGCAATGAAAGTTTCGTTGCTGGAAAGAATTCTGAAAACACAACTACTCAGAAATAAGAACTTGGAAATTTGAGAACTAAACTTTGTGAGAATAAGGAGGCTTAAATAACTACTAATAAATGTTTATGCGAAATGTTTTAAAAGTCATTCTTTTTAAGTTTTGTTTTGAAAACAAGTTAAATTGATTTAAGTTTGCGGTTTTATAAATACTTAAATGCTTTCTTCAGTGACTGTTATTTTTTAAATTAAATTGTTGATTTCTAACTTTTAATAAAAATTAATTTCTGTGTTATATAATTATTTGTGTTTCATAATATGTAGTTTGCAGTACATAGGTTTCTTTATGCAGGAGTGTATTATCAAGTTTATTGAAAGCTGAGTCTTGCTTTATATATTAAAGATTTGTTGTATGACAGGATGTAGTATTGCAATAATATTTTTATTTATAATTATTATCTTGAACAGTAACAGTTACATTTTAACACCAAGCATACCATAACCGGTCAAAAGACCATTTATTGTGGTGATGGTATATTTAGTGTTAAGAAAGGTTACTATATTTTCTTTATTTTTTACAAAAGGAATGCTTTTTGCTGGAGTATTTTTTTTTTTTNTGACAGGATGTAGTATTGCAATAATATTTTTATTTATAATTATTATCTTGAACAGTAACAGTTACATTTTAACACCAAGCATACCATAACCGGTCAAAAGACCATTTATTGTGGTGATGGTATATTTAGTGTTAAGAAAGGTTACTATATTTTCTTTATTTTTTACAAAAGGAATGCTTTTTGCTGGAGTATTTTTTTCTTTTAAAATCGGTCAGAAAATTAAGGACCCTTAGTAAAGATTTTTATTTCCTGAAGTAAAACTATAAAATTTTAATTATTATTTACAAGCACATAAACTGTAGTATTTATATTTATGTTTCATACGGCAGAAATAGTGGTAATAATGTTTTATTACGAATTTTCTTATTTATGTTGGGTTATTTTATTAATAAATAAAATGAAAATTAAGGCGCTTTTCACATCATTGAGAATTGCCTTTTTTTGATCTGTTGCAAGAATTTTTTTTTTAAATTAAAAGTAAAAATAATGGTTATTGTATTTTCGTTAAATAAATAAAGGGATATTTTGTAATTTTAAATGTATAGCGCGAAGGATATTATTTTAGGAATGTTTTAGGACTATAAAATTCTGCATATTTTAAAAAAACTCAATGTTTATTCGTTTTATTGTTGTTGATTTCATTATAAATTAGTGACTTTTTTGATTCTAATTCCGCATAGTTCCATCAAAAAATCCTCCAAGAAAGCAAATTTCGCCAAATACTTTATCCAGGAGTTACCTTGTCTTCCGGATTGGGTTCAAAATTACAAGATTGTGGAATTGAACATTAGTAGGCGTAAACTTGAAAATGGTTCAGCTGTTCAACGACGGTTATAAAATAAAATAAAATGGCCTTAAGATTGCCGGAATAAACTGTTTGGTAGGATGTTAGATTCATGTTCGTGTGACTGAGATTAGGTCGAAAAATCCCCGCGTATTAAATGGTAATGGTATAGGTTAAATGGTACAGGTTACAAAGTCTTCCAAGTTCCTTAACAAATTAATACCTTTTGGAGTTGATGATCCTGAAGTTCGCTCGTCTTCTCAATTGAGTTTAAAATTACAAGGCTACGGAGTTTAATATTTGTAGTCGTTAACTCAAATTTGTGTCAGCTGTTCAACAACGGTTACAAAATGGTCTTTAAGAAAGTTCTTTGTTCTCCGAAATAGACCACTCCCCTTCCAATGAGGTAACCCGGGTTCGAATCATAACGATGACTGGGATACGAATTCAGCACCTAGTTCGTACAGACCACATTGCTGATGTAAAATATCCTCAGTAGTAGACGGATCATGGGTTATAATCACTTTGCCGTGGGACTAACCATGGGAGTTTTTCGTGCTTTTCCCCTGCATGTAACGCAAATGCGGGTTAGCTCCATCATAAGTCCTACATGAAAGCAAATTTCACCCACTACTTTTTCTAGGGCTTGTCTTCTGGAATCGGCTCAAAATTACAAGTCTATGGATTTAAACATTAGCAGTCGTAAACTCAAAAAATAAGTCAGAACTTTTAACGACTATTATAAAATTGAAAATAAAATGGTCTTTAAGCTGAAAGTTACTTTTCACTTTTGTTATAAATTTTGCTGAAAGTACGGAGGCACAAAATTCTAATCTCGATATCATTGTACGATTAAGATGTGATACACGAGATTTGCTACAAACCAGGTTTTCTTTAAAGACTTCTTTATCTGATGTTGATTTGAAGTAAATGACCCCTATCAGCAAAATATCTTGGCTCAATAATAGTTCAAAGGGCCGTTATTTCCGTTATTGGTCCTATATAGAATTTTACGATTCACCCGATATTTTACAGCCAATCTACAACCAATATCGGTTCTATATAGAATTGTCAGATTCATTCGATATTTTATATCCATTATTTAGCCAATATAGGTTCTGTACTGGCAACTTTGATGTTTTCTATCTTTAACGAGGAACACATTTTTTATAAAGTGTAGTCACGAATTTTTCGGAATCTTTTTTTTTATTGTCTTAATTAAGTAAATAAATTTCGCAAAGCTAAGCATTCTCAGACATCAATGGAAATAAAATATGTTTGATAGATTCATAGGAACATTGCTTCCTCAATATATATCGCACAGAAATAAAACTTATCAAATTTCTTTCATTCAAAATCTTAGATGGTTAATTTAATGCTAATAAAAAACCCCAATTTTATCTTTTCAACCTTTTATTACGTATAATATTTAACTCAGTTGTTATAACGTTGGCATGAGTTTTTTTGTTGGGCAAAAATAATTTTCAGAATAATGAACACATTTAATTTTCAAACGTTATTTTAATTTCAACAGATAATTAAAATATTATTTTGAATTAGATACACAGTAAAAAACTCGATTGATATAGTATAATTTATTTCGAGAACTCCGAGATATTACCTATGTATTTACCCTGCTTTACTACAGATGACAAAAAAGGAAAAGCGTATTCATATTTATATAAATTCATATTATATAAATCATATTGAAATAAAATGATGAATTCAAACAGCATGTTTTCTTATGAATGAAATATTAAATTATTCAATTCCTACTATTAGTTCACCCTTTCCCTTGTTCAAATTTTTAATCGTTAATAAAATACTTTTTATTCATCTACTCTAGTTCAAATACAGTTTTTTAAACTTGTAGTGAATAACACTTGATGTTAATAAAATTTTTTTAAATATTTATTCATTAATTAAATTTTATTAATTAATTTAAGTTTTGCATGGGCGAAAAATTTTTAAATATTTAATAAAAGTATAATTTTTAGTCGTTGATCTAACTAGGAATTGACATACTTTTTTTTTAAATTGCTTGTTTTTAAGATTTGGTTACAAGATAGCGATTATGCTTCTATTTTTTTCAGTTGTTACTTCAACGTGAATCATATCAAATGAGTAAGTCTAACTAAAAACCATTATCTCATTTCAAAATACTGCTAAACTTTGATCTCTGTACGTGATTTCTAACGTTGCATGAATGAGAATCTTATCGAATTGTATCCAGGGTGCTTAATAACAATGCGAAATTTCCCTTTTGTTTTTAAAATTCATTAATAGGGAAGGAACGTGAATAACAGGAGGGCGTTTTCAATTGGCATTATTTTCCATTGGTTTTTACTTGTTCTCTGTTTGATAGCGTATTTGAAATAATGGATGAAGAGTTTGAGGAGTATGTTTTTACATGGAGGATTAAAAACTATTCTTCCTGTTACCAAGTTAAAGGTAAAGATATTGTGAGTCCCTTTTTTACGATCGAAAATATCCCTGGTAGTCAGTGGAATTTGTCGTTTTATCCTAAAGGTTATTCCAGCCTGAGAAACGATTAAAGTTACGTTTCCTGTTACTTAGAGTGGACAGCGCTGTATGACACGATTAAATCAGTCACAGTTTCTTACAAGATCGAGATTGTGGATGAAAAAGATTGTGTTTTGGAGGGTATTGAGTCGAAAAAGCAGGAATTTAATAAACTGAATTCAAACTGGGGAAAGAATAAATTCTTTGCTATCCATGAATTGGACAAAGAAATGAGCAATTGGGTCAAAGATGAATTAACACTTCGGTGTCGAATGAAGAGTGATAATCAACTCAGGCAAAAGCTATCTGGGTCTGTTGCTTGTACTACCATCGAAGTAGACCGATTCTTTGTTGACTGGAATGTTAAAATACCTTCTTTGTTTGAGTATTCTGAAAACATTGCTTTCCCTATCTCAGATTTGTATAATGTAGACATTGCTTTGAATTCCAAGTCAGAAGCTTTAGCCATTTCGGTTTGCTTCAAACAAAATAAATCTGATATATCTCAGCGTTTGATATTTACGATTTCTATTTTTCATAAAATTGGATGCATGTTAGCTTCCAAGCGTGTTGTGCACGTGCATGAAAAAACTGAACCGTGGCATTTTCTCGATTTCATGACAAAGGACGTGTTGAAAAATTGTGAAATTAGTTCATCTCGGTATGAATTTAAGCTGGAATGTGAAGTTTGCGTTTCAAAGAAAAATATTTCTTCTAACTCTATTGAAAAACTGCAGTTCGAGTCTCCTTTCAGCTGGGAGTCTTTACCGACGGATAATCCAACCTCTTCTGCGCAAAATGAATTTAGAAACATTTTGGCAAGCAAAACTTATTCTGATGTTACAATTCGATGCAAAAATGATGAATTTCCTGCTCATAAGTTTGTTTTGAAAGTTCGATCCCCAGTGTTTGCCGCCATGTTTGATCAAGACATGCTGGAAAACAAAACAGGTGTAGTTGATATGACTGACATTGNAAACTTATTCTGATGTTACAATTCGATGCAAAAATGATGAATTTCCTGCTCATAAGTTTGTTTTGAAAGTTCGATCCCCAGTGTTTGCCGCCATGTTTGATCAAGACATGCTGGAAAACGAAACAGGTGTAGTTGATATGACCGACATTGATGGAAAGACTTTAAAAGCGTTTCTTGAATTTTTGTATGCGGATAAAGTGGATAAATTGGATTACAGTATTGCTAAGCATCTAATATTGACTGCAGATAAATACCAAGTGTCAATGCTTGTGGATAAGTGTGCTTCATTTTTGATATCCATTATATCGATTGAAAATGCGTGTGAAATTATTGCAATCGCTGATATGATTGATTGCAAGAATTTGAAATCTTTTGCGCTAAGTTTTATTGAGCTCAATGCTGCAGATATTTTAAAAACTGCAGCTTGGACAGAATGGATCGAAGGAAATATTAAACTAGCCACATGTATTTTATCGAAGTTGTCAACAAATTTCCGACAGATTGGCAATGAAATTTATCTATAATGGCTCCATGAAGGTTTTCCTTGATTTATATTTTACTATAATTATTATAGTTTAAATATTGATTTCAAATACTGAACGATATATTTAACTATCTTGTCTTAATGTTAAGTGAATGTTTATGTTGTAACACCGATACTTGATGTTGATACACTTTGTACTTGTACTTTTGTTAAAAAGTATTTTGTTACAGTTTGTAACAATTGCTAAATATTTTATTCTTTATTGGGATATCTTAGTTCTTTATCTATCAATTCGAGGCATTTTTTCATTTTTCGTCTATTTTCCAATTTTAGAATTTGTTTATCGAAGTATAAAAAATAATTGTAAAAATAATTGTTAAAATTACTTAATTTCTTTTATTTAATTAAATAATGGTCTTTTTATGAATAATAAGATAAAAGCAACATTTTTGTATCACTTTAAACTATGAAAATTTAAATTGAATACTGAAATTAAATTGTCTGAAATTTGAAAGTATTCAGTTTCTTAAGAAATGAAATCTTAAAGACGTGACTTTTTTAAAATTGCATTACTCACTAAGTTTTCGATTGATCTTGTTCAAATTTTGTGATTTGTAATTAAAATTTACATAGTTCAAAGAAATTAAATATTCGTCTACCTTACAATACGAAGCTGCTTTAATCATCATTAAATTAAATAATATAAAATTATAAATTATCATGAAAACTATGTTTTTGCTTAAAAAATTTCTTTGATGAAATGCATACTTAAATTTTATGTAAAAGTGTTCGATACACTCAGATATTTGGCGAAAAAAGTAAAACTATCATTAACCCTTTGCCACAGAATTTTTTAAGCATATTAAGCATATTTTTTATACTTTTTTTTATTTTGTATAAATTTTGATCAAAAAAAGTAAAACAATTTTATATTTAGCATTTTTAATAATTTATGGTAATGAAATGCAGCATGAAGNCGAAAAAAGTAAAACTATCATTAACCCTTTGCCACAGAATTTTTTAAGCATATTAAGCATATTTTTTATACATTTTTTTATTTTGTATAAATTTTGATCAAAAAAAGTAAAAAAATTTTATATTTAGCATTTTTAATAATTTATGGTAATGAAATGCAGCATGAAGCGCCGATTCATTTGCTGCGTTAAAGTAAAATCTTTAAAATTTTTCTCACTTCAAAAGAAAATGTTTAAAGTTGCAACTATTTGCAGTTATTTACTTGTTACATTCTAGAGGAACAGTTATTCATCATTTGAAATTTCTTTAATTTAGTATATCGATTATTGATAGAATTAACTACTAATATTTTAAACAATTTTTAGTAGCTATAAATCGATTAAAACTATTTTTTTTATTGATTTCTATACTTTAGTACAACTATAATTCCGACAATCTAACAGATATTTTTTCAGTTACTATTAGACTGCTTTTTTACCATTAAAAATATAAAAACATGTTTTTACTTGTAATTAGATCGTCAGAAAAAATTATATGAAAAAGATAACCCAGTCCCATCATCGTCAAATTAATGCCACTCTTACCACAGAACTTAAGAATCGACTTTTACAGAACTTCTTCGACTACGTTTTGAGAGTCAAGAAACAAAATACTTCGGAAAAAGTATGCTTATTTCAGATAAAGTACAGTTTTGTGCTTAATTTCGTAATTTGAAATATTGACTGTACTAATTAAGTATCATATTTATAATGTTAGACCCTAACTGCAATGGTCCCGCTGGAGTTAGGGTCTAACATTATAAATCGTAAGACACGATCGTAAAGACACGGTTCCCAGTAGAACACCAAAGTCAAGCATCACTGTGTAGAGAAAGAGGGTGCGCGGTATCGGTCCTTGTTAAACTGTTCTACCGTAAAGTGTTTGATTTCGCTCGCAGGTCATCGGACTACCAAAGAAGGGGAGCCATCCCCTCTGCAGAGGATGAAAATTGCGATGGCATGTCTTCGGATCATCCTCAAGGATGCTTCCTAGACCGTCGCCGATAGCTCATTGTGTAGCTCTAGTGCGACATAAATAAAGAACCTACCTACCCTAACTTCAATGCGTGATCATAATATAAGTAATCCTATTATTGGATCAAAAGTTACAAAGCTTGTAATTTTTTATTTTATTTTGGGCATCTTACGTCACTCACATGCAACCAAATAATTAAAATTACAGATGAATTATTTTTTTTAGATTTACTTGTGGATGAATTAGAAATTCTTATTTTGAGGTAAATTCGTTTCATCATTTTAATATAGTCTTTGTCAATCAAAAAATTTACTATTTGAAAGAAATCCCTCTACGGTGAAATCTTAGGGAAGATTTCACCTTATTAAATAGCTTGCAACCATATGAAAAAAATCTGACTTCATTCTTTTGCTGTTTTTATATCAGCTTCCGATACGTTGATTTTGTATTAACTTTTGTGTTTGGTACAGTATAGTCGTTTACGGCTTTGTGCCATTGAGCTTCTGCCTTTAACAAACCCAATTTACTTAGAATTGCTTCTGAATAATGAGACTTTGATAAAATCTATAATACTTTTCCATGTAAAAAAGGTTTTTTCATAACTAACTAGTTAACACTGTTTTTCCATTACCTACAATTTCTATCGATGTTTTCTGGTTCATTAGACAATTACATTATCTACTACATTTAAGAAACTAACTCACTTAGCACTTTTAAGCAATACAATTTTAACCTTTTTTGCGGTGTAACTAGTTAACGTTGGATTTCCGTTACCTACATTTTACCATTACGTTTTTGCACCCATAAGCTAGTAAACGTTTTTTTTTTTACTGAAAAAAGGTTGTTAAGAGAGAAGATTTCAACAGAATTTGATTTCGTTTTTGTTTTGTTGCTTAGTGATTTTCTTAGAACTTAATAGAAAAATCTGTTTAATATAAAATGGAATAATTTGATTTGAATTGAAAAAAATGTTATAAAAGCTTAATTTTCTATTTTGAAACCTACAAAATGGAAAAGATAATTTTTTTGAACACAAAAAGTAATTTAGAGGGAAAGTGTTAAATGTTTGTGAAAAAATATGATTGGCAGTTAGAAAACACTTCGGGTATTAATAAGTCACATCGGTATGTTTGGTGTTATAGGCTCTAAAACAATTATGTCTTAATATTTTCAGTGGCATAGTATGTCCACTGATCAGGCTAGCTCACCGGGTTGTGGCGAGCTGCACTGGTAGCCACACGTGGACTATACGGGTAAGGGTTTTGCAAACCTAGGTACGTGTCCACGTCTGGAGGAAAGGAAACAAAAAGTGGCATAGTATGTTTACCACTGTATAGAGTAGTATAGTAGATATAATCGAAGCAAAATTTGTGTATTGACGAAGCAAACTGATAGCCATTTTCCCTCAATTTATCATAACTGATTCTTATAAAAAAAAAACAACGAAAATTAAACTTTTTATTAAAATATTTGACACAAATATAAGCTCTTTGGTTTGCAGAAATAAGAAACAGTTCCTCATGATTGTTGCAACTACGGTTCAACTATGATGGTTTCCTAGAAGAAAATAAAAATAAAAGATCTTTAGATACAAATTTGCACCTTATATACAGACAGTTCCAGGAAGACAGTCCTTAATATATAGTATTAGAATTTATATATATTGCTTTTATTTATTTGCAGAAATGTGGCTTAAAAGAATATCATTTACTATAGGGGAGAATATTGTACCTTGGACCACATAAACCAGTGTTAATATTTGAATCCCCTAGGGGGAAAATTCTACATGCAATATAATTAGTTGGTGTTAGTTAATGTAACAGTAAGTAAATAACTAGTTAATGTAACAATAGGGGTATTATTCGCTGTGCGATGAACCATTTTAGGTTTTCAAAGTGTGTGATAACAAGCATTTTTTAAATTTTTATTTAGTTTCTGAGAAAGTTTCCTAATAATTTCAATGGAAAAACCATATAGTAGTGCTTACATTTGAAAAACAAATAAGGTGGATAAGTACCTAAATTCCATTTTCTATAAGAAAAAGTACCTAACCATTTTTTAAGATTTTTTTTCTAGGCCTAACTAAATAAAAAAAATCTTGTACTTGCTTTGTCTAGGACCTAAGTTCTAAATTATACCAGTTTGAATGCTAGTTACCGCAAATGTAGTTTCTTATCAACTAAGAAATACGGAATCTTGAAGTTTTTATGTATTGAATAAATTAAACAAAATATTACTTAATATTGCCTTTATGATTCATTTGATTTATTTTGATTAATGCGGGCAACTTGATTAAAAATAGGAATGCATGGATATACCAATATTTAAATTTAGAAGATAAGAACTCAAACTTAATGTTATCCATAGCAGTGACTATTTTATGATTTTAGGCGTTCTCAACCTCTTAAGCAGTGAGGACCAGCAATTTTATAGTAAAAAATAAAAAAAAAATCGAAATAAGGTTCACTAACTTCTAAGTGTTTAAGTAAAAAAAAATATTATGACAAGTATCTATCATATGCGTAAGACGATATATTGTGTTTATATGACAGTAATTAATAAATAGTACTGCACAAGAATTAATTTTTTTCCTTAAAGAAAATAATTATTTTGTATTCACTCAAGTTACTCTCAACAATTTATTCCTATATTTAATACTCAAATTTTTTTTAAAGGCTCATACCCCTAATCCATTTACAGCGTCCATGGTCCAGTACCATCTACCCGTGGCCCATGAGTTGAGAACCACTGGTTTGGGATACAAAACCATCTATCTTGGATCAGTTTTTCTTCTTTCTTGAAACTAATGATATTTTTTGGGAGTGTATACCAGCGTTAGTTCAAAAAAAAATTTGGACTAATAGACAAACTTACAAAGCATTTTTCGCAAACATTGTGAAGTTGTTGAACTATTACAAATTACACAGAAAATAAAGGTCAAAATTAGTCCTGTGTACAACATTCTTCCCTACAGATAGTTCTAGAATAGTACTCTTAAATTATCTCAATAATACCTTTTACAGCAAAGTATGATTGTACAGGTAAGAATGGTGAGGCCGAAGATAACCGATTCAATGTAAGTGGCAACTTTCCATCCAGAGGGTCCAGGCGCTGAAAGAAAATACAATCAAAACCGCATATTATAATATGTTATGTTACATGGCCAAGATTCTATTGCTTATGAGAGATACACACAAAAAGACATTTTTTTAATTTTTTTTTTAAATTTTTTTGTTTACACATGGAACGAAAAAGACGAGTGAGAAAGACTGATTGGATTTATCACCAAGTGATAATTTTAAAAGGAATTGATTATTTAACCTATTGTTATAAATATCTAAGCATTTTTTGAGCGTTTGATTATATAAAAGAACTTTGAAATATCCTCTCCAAAAACGTTTTCGTCAATGATGGGAGATTATGAAGATTTGATCTTTTTTGCTCTGGAAAAAAATCGATTTAATCCAGAGCGATAAGAGACAAAAGTAATGAGCAACAATTCACCAATGATATGAGATAGATCTTAAAGTTGTTTTTTAGTCCTTCCTTGGCTTCAAAGTTAATCTATGAATGAGCAGGAAAACAATCTCGAGGGTTTTGCTAGATAATGACCTCCAGTCTAATGTGGCGCCAAATACCCGTCATTACCATCTCTCATCTTTAGAAGCAGCGTTATTATATAATAAAGATATCTAAGTTCCTCAAACTATACGTGAAATGGACACTGCATGATAATATTGTCAGAAAGTAATCCCGTTTTTTTTGGCGGTACATTCATCTTCACTTTGCTTCTTAGTTTTTCTTCTATCGTGAAAGAAAGATAGATTCTGACCCAAGGTTTTCCTTCACGCGTTGCTGGTCCTCAATAATGTAGCCCTTAACCCTGGAGTGTCCAGAATTAGAGGTTAGAATGACATTGATAATCTTTGTTATAGTACCGAATGAACCAGGCACTAATTTTATCAACTCTTTAAAGGTGAAATCCGTGGCAAAAGCAAACTTAAAACACTAGGTTATTATTTTAATCCTTTAACTTAAAATCCTGATATAACTNCACGATTTTAAAGATATAATTTATGTACTAAATTATAAAAAAAATGTAAACGAAAAAAAATAATATTTTTTAAGATAAATGATCAAAATTTTTTTCCAATTTTTTCTGTCGATAAAATGGGGGGGNATTGGGTGGGGGGGGGGGGTAGAGATGAGTGTCCCCGGAATTGCCCGAAAAAATCTGGTCACCCTAGATATAACTCAACCCGAGATATTTGTAAAGCTAAGCGATGAAGTTTTGAAGTTAAAAAACTGTAACAAAAAACTTATTCAAAAAGATTGAAATTGTAACAGTGGGCTCCCAAGTAGTTACAGTTTTAGAAAGACAGGAATAAACCTTGGAGTTTTAGGAGATTAACTTGAAATTTTGGAGGCTGATATGAATTGAGAGATTAATGTATGCAAGATAATAGATGCAATCTAAATTTAAAAAAAAAATAGTAATACATTTGAGTAGCTTGTTAACTTTCAATTGCAATAATTTGCAATGTGCCTTTTTCTAATACAATGCTTCATTAATCTTGCAATTAAGCTTTATTAATCTAACAATACTTTATTAATCTTCAACTTTACTTTAATCTTGTAATACTTTATTAAATGTCATTTTTGAATTTTTCTTAATCTTATAAATTTATTAAAAACTACCAACTATAATTTCCATGAAATTAAACACTTTTTTACAAAATATCAGAGAAAAACATAAGATTATTGAAACGGAGAATTTCATGTTTTAATAAAATGCTCAACCCAAGTTATGAAAAGAAATGACAAAGCAGAATTTTATTTTTCAAAATGTACTATCAAAGATTAAGCAAAAAGTTAAAAAGTCTGCGAAAAGTTAGTTAACTAAGTTTACTCCTGCGAAAGATTTATATTATTTCCGATGAAAAATACGAATTCATTGATTTTACAGCAATTTTCAAAATTTGTTTCCCAAAATACTCGGTTTATTCCCAGATATATAACGTTTTTTTTGTACTCCTTGCAACTCTACTCCCGAAGGAATAGGAGTTTTTTTCGATGTGGTTAAGAGAAATGACTTAAAATTGCACCGATAGATAGCGCTGTACGTTAATTGAAACTAAGAATATCGTCAAGCGCAGAAAAACAACTGACGGTGCTTCGGAAGCTCGGACCTGTTTACAAAAAAATATTTCACGCTCATGCTCATGATAAAACTTTTATGAACTTCTCTAACAGTTTTTAAGCAAGCGCTAGGTTTAGTTATTAAGAATAAAGAATATAAAATTGATAAAAAAAATGTAAAATTGGTAAAAAAATTACAGTGGCATTCAAACACAGGCATTTTTACATAATGCAGTACAATTCGAAAAATTCCGAATCAAATTACGGTAAAAAGTACCGCCACCCTGAGTATCATCACTTTTTACCGTAAAATTTTACTGAACAAAAAATATGACATACTGTAATTTTTACATTAATATTTATTCTAAAATCACTGTAATTAGCTGTTATATACTAATATAAAAATTACGGTGTAAAATTTTATGGCTAAGAGGGATTACACGGATATTGTTCTCATGGTAGCAGTACTTTTTACCATAATTTGATTCAGAATTTTTAAAAAAGTGTAAAGATAGAGCATAGGGAACAAAAAAAAATCTTAAACTTATTGGTTTATACAAAAGAGGTTTCTGACTAGGAATCTTATAGATGATAAAAAAAACTTGAATGTTTGCTGTTGTTGACAATACTTCTTTCACATTCAGTTCTAGTCTTTTTCATTCGCATTTCTTTTCTTTACAGATTAGTGATAATATATGGGTTTTAATGACTAATTTCCTCGTTTAGAAATTAAAGGCCGAGTGGTGAGATTGCAAAATTTGGTCTTTATCCGAAGTAAATTTAGGGAGGATTCGGGTTCTAAGTAATCCTATGTATTTTGGCCTCAGGTAGGTTCGTCGGATTAAAATTCTTCGGGCTCAGGCAGGCTCAAATTCATGTCTACTCTGTGTGTATCATGCGCAAGCTCGCCTTTTGACTATACTACACGCTCAATGCCATCTACCAATGCGACTTTAAGGTGTTTTTTTTAACTGCGCCTAGAAAAATGAGCACTGCCTAGGGAGCATATTGTAGAAATTTCACTTATTTTTTAACAGTCGTTCTTTTGTTACTTGTTTTTGATTCCACAACTTTGAAAAAAAATCGTCTTGTATTTAGAGCTCTATAAGTAAAATGTGTTGTAAAAAATTCTATAAGATAAGACAAAAGTATATATTGAGGAACTGGAATCGTAATATATTTACTTTCGCATTTTTCATCCATCTCCCATCTACTTCTTTTCGCAACATAACCGGGTTGGCATGTGCACCTAGTATACTTGTCGTACGTAAGATCACATGATAAGGACATTGGACCACAATCACATTCTACAAAGAAATATATATCTATATATATAAAAATCTCTTGTCACAGTTTTAGTGGTTAAACTCCTCCTAAACGGCTGGATCGATTTTGNTCATTAAAGTTTTATACTGTTTATATAATAATTGTTTGATATATACGGAAATGTTAGGTAATACCAGGTAGCTAAGGTTCGAGGGCCTGTTCGAGCTAAATTGTTCGACCTCGAAACAATTTGATTTAACCAAGATATTCATTACTTAATGGTATGTAATAAATCATTTTCGAAAAGTTAAAAGTGTGCCGCTACTATTGCTTGTAAATGTTTCAGTAAGAAGTTCAGTAAGAAGTTGGAGAATCAATTGGTATGGAGAAAAAAAACCATAGTAATGGAGAGGGGAAAAGCGTAGTGAGTGGGGAAATCCGGTAACCTTGAGACGTCTATTCTTTAAACCACTGTGCTAACGAAATTAAAATTTAACGGGGATATTAAATGAGCTTAAGATTTCAAATCGTTGTTTCACGAAATAAGCATTAAAGTATACTATTAATAATATAAGTTTCGCTATGTAGTGAATTTCACAGAAGTTGTGTTACCCCTTAGTTAGCGATAAAGCGAAATAAGCAAAAATTAAAGAGGATTGTACCAAACATTAACTTTAGACGAGTCTCTTGACCATAATATTGGAATCGTATTTTGCAGATTGCAGTCACTCTTATATATTTGGGGTCAAAAGTTAAAATGCTGGAGAGGAGTAGTTTTAATTGTTTAAATTATTATAATTGTTGTCGTTTAAATTTTAGACACCAGAATAAATACAATTCCCAATTTGATTTCGAAAGAATTCATGTCTGGATAAGAAGTATAAAATATCGTCTTCGCAATGAAATAAGCACATCTCAAATGATAGTATTTGTAAGTAAGTAATAATTTGATAGTATTTGTTTGATAATATAATAATAGCAATATTATGTGTTAATAATATAATTTTAGTAATAACATGTAGCAATAATTCAATAATATGTAAGTAAGTATTAATTAAAACTTATCATTCTAAATATAATAATTAATAAAAAAATTATCATTCTAAATATAATAATTAATTAAAATTTATCCTTGTGTGCCATTTTTTTATTTTCTACAAATTAAATAAAAGTTATGAGTAAAGGGATTAATAACCACAATCCTAAAAATATATTTTTAGAACCTTTCTCAAAAATGAAACAAAAAAATTCCCACTATTAGGTAAATTAATATTTAACAAAGAACATGAATGTTATAAAGATTTTACATATTAATATAGAGGTAGGTGAAATTGAAAACATCACAACTTGTTGATTTGTCAGAGAAGATGCAAAGAAAGTGAAAAGCGATAATCGGCAACACCTTCAACATCATCCGTAAACCAAAATGGTTATGACGTTTTCAATCCAGCTTTCCTTAATTCTAATTCTTCCATAGAGGGTCCGCCAGTGGACTGATCATTAAGACACGGTTCCCAGCAGATCACCGAAGTCAAGCATCGCTGCCTGTGGTCAGTGTGCGGGTGGGGGACTACTTGGATCAGTCTGCGTATAGACTGAGAGTGTGCGGTATTGGTTCTCGTTAAACTGTTCTACCGTAAAGTGCTCGACTTCGCGTGTAGATCGTCGGGCTACCGAAGCGGTGTTGCCATCCCCTCTGCAGAGGATAAAAATTGTGATGGCATGTCGTCGGATCATCCTCAGGGATGTTTCCCAGACCGTCGCTAATAGCCAGCCCATTGTGTAGCTCTAGTGCAACGTAAATGAACTACATCAACATCTTATTCTCAGATTTTTATAACATTTTTTACTCGCTTTAATATTAATTTGCAATTATTTAAAAGTGTATAATTTTTAAACTTCCTTTCAGACAAGTATTCTAAAAAAATCTATATGTTAATGAGGGTGATTACAGAACACCATGTATAATTTACAATGCATATGAGCATAACTTACTTTCACATTTATCACGTATAACAATATATCCAGAATTGCAAGTGCACACCTTTGAATATCCACTGAATTCACAGCTTTTTGAATCAAATCCACAATCACATTCTGCTCAAAAGAATTAAAGAATGAAAATAACAAAATCTTTTTGCATCTGCAAGTTCATATTTCACATAGCATTATGTTTCAAATCTAGACACAATTTTTCCAAATCATTACACTTTAATTGCAAGGGAAAAAAAGTAAAAATATTTTTAAAAAAAAGTGGCATTGCTAGGATTTTATGTATGGGGGAGATTCGAAAGAATTTTAGCCAAGATGTAGATCTTAACAGATAAGCGAAATAGTATTGAAACTTGAAAATCGATAATTACTTTTATTAAAATGACTCAATTTATGATTTTGAAGATAGTTGAAACTAAGCAGCATTTTAATTGATGAAACCAATGTAAAAAACATAATTGCAATAAAATTCTTCTGTTTGATACTGTTGTTTGTCTATTTTGTTAAAGATGTCATTGGGAGTGATATATATGTCCCGAAGGGTTAGGGAATTTCTTTTTGCATGGACGGCTTCGAAGCTAACAAACAGCAAAAAAGCTAACAAAGCTCTAAATGAAGCTGTTAACAAAGGGGTAAGGAAAAGAAGTAAACAACATATTTTTTGTTTAAATTTTTACAGGAAATCGAGTGTAATTTACCTTAACAACAGTTTCATAATATTTTTTTCTCAGGAAATTGGAAAAAAATCGTGTATTTTTATCTGTGAATTTTCTTACTTATTTTGGAGAGGAGGCGATCCGCATGGTCTCCATGAAACCTCCTCAATTTGGCTACGTCACTGATCGACCGCAATATGAATCAGTATTGTATTTTTAATTCTGACATCACAGTGATTGTATAAATAATTGCAGTGATTTCATACTGGTGTGTCTATCTAAGCTTAGTTTAGGAGTTACTAAGATTCCGCATGTTTAGCGACGCTGTTTTTATATTCTGCATATTTGTCAGAGGGATGGGAGCAACTAATTGTTTTCTCCAGAACATCCCAGTCTTGTTGTAATAACATGAGGTCTAGATATCTGGCACGCTAATCCGTGTCGGGAATATTTTTGTTTTTTTATGAGCATCGTCGAGCACTAAGTTAGAGAACTATTGTCCGTTAATATGAAATGAGGGTCAAATGCCCCACTGAATAGGCTAATAGGGAGGGGAATTTGTATATCCCAGTAGCTTAAGCTTCATTACCTCTTTTAAGGATATAGAGGGTTGTGCTGCCATATACCTGCCCAGACCATTAAGCTTACGCTGCGCCGTAACAGGTGATTTCATGGATACTGAAGGGCAGACATCAGATCCATTAAATAAAATGGGTCAAATGCAATTATATTTTTATGTGAAATAAACCAGGACTTCGATGAGATTTTATTTTAGACTTTAGTTTGAAATGCGTGTTTTGGATAATGGACACAGAAGAAAATTCGTTATTTTGATGTTCAATCCAAATTGAACGACTAAATTAACTTTTAAATTAACTTGTTTAGCTTGTTTCTTCCTAACATTTTAAACACTAAACAAAATCATTTCGGGATAAATTCTCGAAACTGGGTGTCAGTGGTGCTGGATAGAGTATTGTACTATAGATTTACTGTAGAGTACTATAATTAGTACTATAGTACTAATTATAGTATAGGTATATAAATTAGTATAGGTAGAGTGCTATAAATTTATAGTACATCAATATATTTATAGACATCAATATATATATATATAAATTTATAGTACATCAATATACTTCTCAAACGATCTCTTTGCATTCAGTACTCTACGAGAAAAAGTGGCTTTAAAATATCCATATTAGTTCAGCGTCCATTTAATACCATCATTATAAATGTATTGGATCCGTGATAGACTTGTAAAAAGAGCTGTTGACTTTTACTGTCTTCCCAAAGAAGTCTAATTAAATAAAATGTACTAAGTGACTTAATCAAATGGATGCAGTCACATTACGAGTTTCTTTGGGTAAAAAAAAAAATTTAAAAAAAGTTAGAAAAACGGAATTAAATGCTAGGTTCAATTTCTTAAAAACGCATCTCGAACTGTGTCCATTTTCTTAAATATGCGTTTTGAGCTATGCCCGTTGTTTTACTCACAAGTTTCGAGCTGTGTCCGTTCCTTTAAACACGCATGTCGTGCTGTGTTAATTGTTTTTTTAAACATGCGTTACGAATGGTGACCACAATAAGAAAGTCACCGATGAGGTGATACTTTTACATATCGATATCCATATCTAGCTTTTAAAATTCTAATTCAAGAATAACTTTAAGACAATTAGGGCTCGAGAGATAATCGAAAATGTTAAGATTAAAAAAAAAAGTTACATTATCAATAAAAATGCCACATTTCTTCACTTCATCATACATACCTGCACATTCATCTAAACTGTTCTGCTTGTATTTTCCGAAACAGGAACACTTTATTTTGTTATTTTCAAAATAGCACTTACTGGCGAAAATTCCACAGTAGCATCCTGCAAAAATGTCACAAACTTTACTGCCTATAAGCTGTTAGTTTTTGAGTTTATTTTGATACTTAAATAGACAGGAGAAAATAAGTACTTGTCGAAAATAACCGTGAGGAATTTATGATTGCTTTTAAATAAAGTCCTGCAACAAAGTATAAGAACATAGTTACTTTGGCATAATTGTGTCAGTACTAGATTGTCATAATTTCTGAGAGTTTAATGAAGAATAACTGAAAATGTGCTCTTTATTGTGTATCATATAAAAGTGTTCGGATCATTCTCAGGGATGTTTCACAGATCGTCGCCAATTATCCATCGTGTAGCTAGCTGTAGTGCGACGTAAATTAAGTACCTACTTGCTGATTATCTCTCCTTTGGTGCTGACAAAGCGTTGTTACTCTAACATCAAATTTTAATCAAATTTGTTCCACATATTTGGTGTTTCAATACTTTTAATGCCGACCGACCTGTGTAGGGGCAGGGAACTGTCCTTACATCAGAAAGGTCCTGGGTTCGAATCCCGGGCAAGCCATGGATGTTTCTTTCTCTCTGTGTGTGTTCTATGTCCTTTCTCCTGTGGTCCGCCCTATAAACGGGTTGTGGTTGTGTGAATGGCGTGGCAGAAGTCGAATTCCTGGCCATAGATGGCGCCACTGAAAAACAGGAACAATCGCTCCTCCACTGCCTAAAACAGGCATACGACCGAGAAAAAAACTTTTAGTAGCTCCGCTCAAGTACATTAGTTCGGCTATAGTTCGGCTTTACCCTGTCCCACCCCCATTTCGGGGCATCCAGGAAATACTGTTGAAGGATCGGTTTAGGCCAGATCCTCCATTCTGTTTTCAAAAAGTCTTTTAAAAATCTCTTCAATTCCTTTGTTTAGTTCCTTTTGTTTCTTTCTTTTGCTTCAAGTGCATTAGCAGTAATGCGAGAGTGCATAATAGCATTTCTTGCATAATTACTCTCTTAAATAGTTATGCAAACCTAACAGTGCAGAGCATTTGGCATGGAGAGTTCATGAGCGGTTCTAGCATAAAAAGGAAATACATGGTTTCAAGATCGGAGATGTTGGTGGCCACTGGTGATAAATCACTTGTCATTCGTTTGTTCAGGACTCAGTTTTTGAAATACCGATTTCATAATTACTTAACTGGAGGAACGTGCTGACAGTTTAAAACTGCAAAATGTCTGAAACGAATACAATTTCAAATTTAAAAAAAAGGTCATACTTCGAACCTTATTCATTAATAAAATGTAGTAAAGTTTTCTCAAATTTTGTATATTTCTAATCGTAACATTTGTAAGAAAATAAAAATTTTTGAAATCTTGGTTATTAATATGAGATAAATTTGTATAAATATATGTATTCGACAGAAAACTATATTTTTGTTACTGTAATGTGCTTATAATCGCCCTCTCCAAAGTATTTTTTGATCTTCGTCATATACAAGAGTATTTATTAATTATTATCTAGACCTTAACAATGGGAAAAATTTTAAGAAATACAATTATCGATTCATTTTTGGCACACACTGAAAAGTTTTGGTATATGGTTGTTACCATTTTAGGTATTTAGGTAAACTAAATACTTTTTTAATATAATTTATATACACTGGACAAAATAACAATTGTTTAAAAGTTTCAGATTGAAAATATTACTAAAAATGTGCTTGTTTTTGTAACCGAATATTTTAGCAATGAAGCTATTTAATTGATTGTAATTCACATGAAAATATGTGTTGCTTTGTTTCTAGGTCGAAAAAATAAATAAAACTATAAAGGTGAAAATCTAAATAAAAATGTGATTACATCACTGTAAAAATTTTGTATAACTAACCACCAAAAAGGGGGTCATCTATGCACCAAACATTTTCTATAGTGTAACAGAATAGGCTTACGATTCGCATTCTTAAAATACACGAAGTTTTTCAAGAATTTGATTTTTTTTTATCTGAACTTGTAATTTGTAGTGCGAGATCAATTATTCTAGCATAAATTATAAGAAAATGTAGTGAAGGGAGAATAAAAAAAATCAAAGAGTTCTTACGTTCGCACTTGTCATTGTTCTGAGAATATTGCCAGTCACATTTGCAAATCTTTTTTCCATCTTTGTAATCGCAACCTGAAGATCCAAACCCACAGTCACATTCTAGAATGAAATTACATTAATAGTTTGGAGAACAAATCCTTGGTGAGTGCTTTTTATTGTGTACTTAATTACTCTTGGAATGCTTAAAGAATATGGACCTCAATTGATTCCGCTTTTCAAACTTCTATTTTTTTATGATTGTCGTTGAACAGCAGACCAATTTTGAGTTTACGACTACCCTTATTCAACTCCAGAGACTTGTAATTTTGAATCCAATCTAGAAGACAAGGGAACTCTTGAATTAAGTAACGGGAGAAATTTGCTCTTATGGAGGACTTTTTTGATGGATGTAACCCTTATTTGCGTGACACGGAGGAGAAAACCCCGAAAACCTCCCATGATCAGACTGATGTCAAGGGGACTGTAACTCGTGATCATCCTACCACCGAGGATATTTTACGTTAGTACCGTACCTGGTGCGAGCCGGGTGAGGAACTCGTATCGACCAGCCGTAGCTGGAATTCGAACCTGGTTTATCTCAGTGTGATGTTCTATTCCCTGAACCACCATGGCTCAAACTTCTATCGCCCCGGCTTAGATTTGAGCTTATAAAGGCATGTCATATGAAAAATATTCATTGTTATAAAGAATAAACAAATTGATTCAAGTGAATTTCTACTGTGATGTCGTCCATTTTGCCTAAATCCCTCAGAACATATTTTAAAATTATTTTTATTTTAAAAGATATTAACTGTTAGCAATTCTTTTTTCAAGATTTACAATGGTCTTATTAAACTGACGAAGAATTTCGATTTTTTTAGAACGACTTTATCTATTAGTGTTTGTCTGAAAAGTTACATTCGTAATATACCTAGTCACCTCGACCCCGAAGTCCGGGACTTTTGCTCCGTAATGATTATGCTAAATGTTTAAAAAAACTAGATACTGAATTCTCATTTAGTTAAATTTAGATTGAGCAATGAAAGGTTTTTGCTATGCCCTTTTTCTTAAACACGCAAAAAATATATTATTTCAATATTCAATATAAGTTTGATAACTAAACCAGGAATTTCACATTTACTTTTTTTGCTTGCTTTAAAACTTATCATGATCATTTGGAGACAAATTCCGGGATTGTGGGTTAAGTGTAGCTGGATAATTTACAGATGTAACTTTTCAGGCTATTTTTTTCTCATTCACAACTTTGAACGGTGAATTGAGTCTAAAAATCTTAATTACTACAACGTATATTTAAAACCTAGCTTATAAATTTATAGTTTTCTTATCAACCTAGTAAAAATCTTTTAAATCCCTTTTTTTTTTAAAAAAAAAAGGATTAATTAAAAATACTAAAAGTGATTTATGCTAAAGAACAATATCACATTACGATTTTATTTATATTTATTTTTTTACAGAAGAAAAGTGCTTAAAAAAGTTTGAAAAACGGAATAAAATGCTATGTCCATTTTATTAAAGGGCTATTAATTAATCCCTTTCCTTAAATAGCTATGTCCATTTTCTTAAACACACATTTCAAGCTGCGGGGTTCCGCCGAAAGAAACTTGATTATTTAGGGTTCCGCAGTCGAAAACAACAGGGAACCTTTGATCTAGAAGTTCCTTGGTCTTCTGCATTAGGTTCAAATTTGCAAGGCTACAGAGTTGAAGTTAGATAGTAGTAAGCTTAGAATCAGGTTGGTTGTTCAACACCGGTTATAAAATGTAATATAAAATAAGAGAATTGAATTTTTTGTTTCTTATACGAGTATCATTATCTAAATGTGAAGTTTTATATTCGTCTTAAATTATGTTTTATATTCGACAGACAGATTTACAGACCTGAAGCTGAATATATTCTAGTAATAAATTTGTTTTTGGTGTGAATGTATAATAAGGAAATTAACAAAATGGGCATTGAACTATGGTTTTCGTTAAAATGTAAAAGTTCGTTAAAAGAATTTGCATTGCTATAAATGGTTATTGAAAAAACATATTTCATTATTAGCGAATTTAATTATTTTATTATAATTTGAAAAGCTCGATAGGAAATGTTAACGTTATTTTTTAAAAATAATAATTTGTGTAATTAACTCTCATTCAAGATATTGTTATTAAAAAATTATATATATATTTTTTCAAATATTGCCACTTCTTTTTTATTAGCGTTTTTCTTTTAATAATTATATGAAAACAATGAAATGGGAAATGAATAGTGGTTTTTTAACTAGATCTAATTGTTTTCGTTAATAATTTCGTCAGAAATGTTGGAAAAAAATGGCAAAAAAATTCCTTACTATGCGAACCCCTCTAACTCCTTCACGGAACCCTATAGTTCCGTGGAACACCATTTGAGAACCGCTGCTTAAGGCTATATGAATTAACCTACTTTAGCTACACTTATAAAATGCTGGATGCATATTATCCACACATCAAAATATCTCTATACTCTTATACAAAGTATATCAATAATGAAGTACATACATACAAAATATATTTATTCTAACACAAATCTATACTATACATGCAAAGTATATCTATACTAAAGAATAATAATACTTACGGGGATCATGAAAGCTTTTGTTCTCATATCCAAATGGTCTCGTTTTGTCAGAAGAAATCCCAATTGTCTGAGATATATTTTTGATCTGTTCATCAAAAATTTCGAAAACATTTCTGGCTCGAACAGAAACTGAGAAAAACAGGCTAACACTTAAGAAGAATACGATGCATTTATAATACTCTGGCATGCTTCAGCCTTTTTTTTTCTTTAATGAGTGAATCCTTACTGATTCCATACCATTAAATCGATGTATTTTGTGACAGATGATAAAAATCACCCACTCTATTTTCATTCTACTGTTGAAATAACAACGTCATTAATGAAGTATGAAGGATAGCCCCATGATAAGGCCGCTTTGTTATCTTTACGTCACGATGAAGCATTGAATGTCAACAAAGTTGTTTTTTGAGATATCATAATCATATTAAAAGAAAAAATGTTTGTGTCCATTTACCTTTCCTATAAGTCAAGAGCTGTTTTGTGTTATGTCCCGTAATTTGAACAGGGCATAAAAGGGGTGATTTTAGCCCCCGATATTAAAATTTGCTCGAAACTTTCAGTCACCTATATCGTTCGGGAGAGACGTTGGAAAATGGGATTTTTTTCATTGGCTTTGATTTGGTTACCATGCAAACTAGCGATTGTTTTAAATTAAAATGTAGATTATTCTAAACATCAAATGTTGATGCCTACTAGCTTATAGATGTTTGCTTACTTTACGGCCTTACGAAATGGGTAAGAACAGAAGAAAATCTCTTGATTTTGGTAACTTTTAAATACCATGATATGGATTTGAGCATGCCTAATGATACTGAATGCAGTTAATCATTCTTTTTAATGGTATCAACAAATAAAAACGTGTTGTCACCAGGGAGAGTTAAAAATAATAAGACAGAAAAAAAAATCAAAATTATTTAGGTTGATGCATATCTTTTAACTTCAGACATCATTTTATAGTGTAGTGATTTATTGTCTCAGAACTAATTTATTAACTTTTTATCTCAAGTCGAACGGGTATTCGGTTAGTTTTAATAATAAAAGAAAAAATTGCACCCGTCTGTTTCCCGTGCAAGTTAAGAATTGTTTGGGTTCCAAAATTTGGACAGTTGGGACAATTTTTCAAAAATTTAAATTCGTACGTCTGAGAGGAAAATCAAATTTTTGCATTGGTTTACCATTGCGCTTTGTTGCAAATTAAAACTGTGGATGATTCTGTTTTTTTTTCAGCTATTTAAAAGATAACACTAGTGCTTATAGATCTAATCAACAAGAAATGAAATTATTGCTAGTACATTAACAATTAGCTATTATTTGCAATGTCTGATTAACTCACAGATGAACATGGTAAGGTCACACGAACTAATATTTTTAAAGCTATCTGAAACTTTTTGAAACTATCTGAAATTTTTGTTTATGGTTAAGTTTGTTTCGATAAACCTAAATAAGTTAAAATCAATAGTAATTGAAATAAAGAAATATAATTAATCAATTCATTGGAAAATTTTAGTCCAGGGTAAATTTTGACAGTCATTAAATTTCTATAAATAGTAACATTATTTATAGTCTCAAATCATGCAAAGAATCAATAAAATTTATTTTTGGTGAGTCGGACTTTTAAAATCGTGTTTTGTTTAATTAATATCATAAACTGATTGAGAAAGACAAACAGAATGTTTACGAAGAATGATGGAATGAAAGATAAACTGAATGATGTTATCTTTCTAATAGTATCGACATATGCTTATCAATTTTGTATTAGATTGCGCAGTGGTGATTTATGCCGATTAATTGAGTAATTATTTTTTTCACCTCCCTCGTAGAAAAAGTATTCAAAATTTCTATGAAATACTATATTATTGCTTTTGATTTCCTGATTTCGATTGCATGTTAGTGATAACAGAAGAATACTCCTATTAGTAAGGGTTAAGAGCTACCTATTAGTAAGCGAATTTTCTCATGCCTGGAATTCAGCTAATTTATTGAAGAAAAAGTATTGGTTAGTGCTGTTAAAAGAAGGAAAAATGCATAGTTTAGAAGGTCTTTGAAAGATCAGTTTTTTTTCTTTCTTTTCTTGAAACCTCTCAGTACCTAAAATAATACCCACAGATTTATGGAACAAAAGTATTTAAGTCATCGATTTTAAATATCTTACCAGTTCTTTACGGTTTTCTGCTTACGCCTCGAAAGCTTGATGAGCTTTTTTTTTTCTTTTTTTACGAAATTATATTTTTCGTTTCTGATCTTATTCATGGATCAAACAAATATTGAAAGATTAACTTCAAATTTAAACTCTAAATTTAATATTATTTTTTAGTGAATTACTTAGCTTTTTTAAAAACTTTTTTGTGTGTTTTTTAAAAATATATTGCAATAAGCTTTTCGAAAAATTTAGAATTTTTTAAAGTTGTGCTCTTTTACATGAAGTGATTAAAAAAAAACTCCTGTGGATTCATCTATTATTTTGCATATATCATTAAAATAATTTCTGTCTTCTAATCAACCGTTAACATTACAAAACGATAAGATTCTGTGATGAAAAACCACCACATTGTTTTGTAGCGCTTTGGAAAAATTAATTTTTACCCAAAATTATATGAAGAAACTTTTTTAAAAATTATGTATTTTTGATTGTCTCGATGGAAAAGAAATCCCCACAAACTTACTATTTTTTTGTTTTTTTGTTTCTAGAATGACACCTTTAAAAGGGCCTTCGTTATGCAAGGAAGAAATAAAGCGATTTTGAAACGATTTTTTACAGCACAATTACTCAGTGTACCTACGAAGAAATATATACCTTCGGTGTAAGTATAAACAAATGAAAATATTTTTTGTGCCATTTATGAAACTCGTTTAATAAAGATAATTTTATGCAAGGAATAATTTTAATTTATATCTATTTATTTTTTATTATTTAATGTTAAAATTATCGAAAGAGTTATGAGTTGAAAGATAAATAAAATTTCATCCAAACTGAAACAGAATCGATGAAAAATAATTTAGTGATAAGTTGAAAAAGAGCTAATTGAATAGAAAGTTAAATAAGAATTAAATGGAAAATCAAAAATTTGAGCGGAATACGACCTTTCCATTTTCTTCTTTTTTTAAATTTTTTTTCTTCATATTCTGTTTATCTTATTGCTTTCAAACTCAACTGATAAGCATTAAACCAACTGATTAAGTTCGAAACTGATTAAGTTCGAAACTTTGTTATGAAGGTTAAATTGTTAAAATAAGTAAAAAAATTGAACTTATTGCAATTAAGAACTTTTTTGATCATTGTTAAATTAAATACTAATAATAATAAATATAAAAAATATTATTTCGTGAAAAAATATTTTCGTAAACGAGTTCATTATTGCAACATGCATGTTCATTATTGTAACATGCAAGAATTTCGATTTTCGAAATTAATTCCAGAGCAATTTATAAGATAATTCACTTGTTAGTTATATTAACATAAGTATAAGTACATCACATATTATGTGCTTGTGGTGCCCCATTTTGTGTTTAATAATTTCTAAAATTTTCCCTGATTGCATTGCATGGAGCTGAAAGGTATTGTTCTTATATATATATTTATTTATTTATCAAAATTCAGAACATAATAAATCATTACATAATAAATATAATAAAATAAATGATAATTTATTTCATTATAGTTATTATGTAATGATACCAAAGAAAGGATAATTTTCATTAAGAAATAAAAATGCTTTTCGCTTATTCGTAAGAAATTTTTGAGCAATCCCTCATAAATATTCTTTTAGTGTTCGACTGTTTTTATTATATTGAAAATCTATAAGGATTTTCAAAATTCTTTCGTTTTTTTTTAAGGTTCTTCTCTCAGAACAAATTCTTTATACAATTTGTCACTTCTACTTCGAATTTTCTTATTGCTTTTAATGAACTTCCATATTGTTGGATGATCGACGCTGAACTAGTTTTGCATTTTTCGTAGCTTCTACATAAAGGTTCGAACGTGATTCACCATTTAATATTTTTTCAAAAATATGTAAATAGAAACAATCTGTAAACTTCAAATAGAAACAATGGCATTTTTCGAATACCTCGTAGATTTGATCTTCCAATATAATAATCTTCAGACCAGTTCAAAATTGGCAATAATTCGATAGATAAATGTTCTTCCACAAGGGATTGAATCAGGAAGGGACCAAAATGGCAACAGGACCGAAACGGTAACGGGACTGAAATATCATGAACTGTGCTATGTTACTTTGTAGTTACGTTGTTAAGATTAATAAATATAAACTTTACACACCTGATATTACACTAAGACACCTAATATTACAACTTTACACACTGAGCCTGAAGAGCACCCTATATTTTAAAACGTATTAGTACTAAATACACAAGTGGGCGACCTTAGTGCTAAAATACAAACTAAGGTAAACAACGTTTAAGAGCACAAAAATATTTATAAAGTTGTTTACCTTAGTAATGCTTTTGATGCTTTTTTTAAAATTAAAGATTTTTTAGAAGAAACATTTTTTTAGAATTAAGACTTTTTTTCGTAATAGATTTATTCCCTTTATCTATTTTTGATNACCTTCATCAGTGCAACAGGTTGCACTGATGAATTTTGCCCTTTGAGCATCCGAAACAGCTCTCTGCATTTATAAATATTTTTGTGCTCTTAAACGTTGTTTACATTAGTTCGTATTAGTACTGTTCAAACATAAAAAGGGGACATGCTGGTGTTTCTTACACATCGAACTCTCTTGGAGAAAGAATTTACGTTCTCTGTTGTAGAAGAACTATTAATTCTATATTCAAATCTCGTACGGTATTGTGAAAATGCATAGAAATCTGCCAAATCTTAAACCCATTAACTGTATCAACACAGCTGATATGATTCATGATGCTGTTTTCCAAATGACTGATGTGTCTTTTGTAAGTCCTGCAATCTTTAAAATGCACAGGACTAGCAAAGACACTGATTTGTATTATTACATGTGTCGTTGATCGAGCTTCACATCTTGAATTAGTCACATCATCACTATCAACTGAAACATTTTTACTTTATCTTCTTTGATTTGTTGCTAGAAGCGGAAAATCTTCAACTGTTTCTAGTGGTAAATGTGACGAATTTTGCAGGAAGTGCTTTTTCTTATATTGATTTTAAGAAGATATTTGTTAAGACAAGTAATGAACCTGGAAATGTATGCTTCCTAGAGCTCCCTAGTGGAAGAGCTTTTGGTAAATTAAGAAACTTTTACATACGGCACATAACAGATTCAATATCGCTTGAATCTAAAATTGTTTTAGCTAAAATTGTTTTATTTCAGGCTTTAGGAGTGAAAAG